TGATTCATCAATCACCAGCTTCTGAGCTGGTACGTAGATATCTCTGAACTTTCCAATAAGTTGATTCAGAACGTGCCTCACCCTCCAAAACCTATCATCCTGTGTCTCGTCTTCATTACTTGCAAAATGAAGACACCTGAGTATTCTCAAAAATCTGTCTCAAGACACATATTTCCTGAACAATGGTGTTGTAACATTCTGGTCTTTGCTCCAATAATAGTTGATTACGTGTTTGACACAATGTTTCATCAACATACACAGTGCCAATAACACATACATTTCACCTACAATTGTATTTTTCCAACACTGTAATCATAAAAATCTGATAACTCCTCCCCAATGAGATCAGCCACATAAATGTTTCCTTAACAATATGTTCCATGAGCAGCTCATTAAAATATGTAGTAAAGAAGTCCATTTCACACATTTCATCATCATTATCAGGGAGAAAAGACCTGTAATTCCGACACCTGTATCGTCAAAGGCGGGAGTTTCTGGAACAAAATCTTCCCCATCATTCCACACAAATACACCTGCTGTCTTCTGACTGGCAACAGCAGCACTACGGCGAGGAATGTGTGGACCAGGAGCTGAAACCTATCTATGCACAGTAGGGTTGGGAAGGTACAATAAGGGGAAAATTACTTGAAGATGAGGGGGCTTTGATCATCATTGTCTCCATTTGGTGCCATGTGCTAGACTGGGTGAGATGCTACTGACGCGACAAACATTCACTTGGCAACACCACTGGCACTAGACAGGCGTGGTAAAACTCTTCTCTGTATCCAAATCACTAAAACCAAAAAATGAGTCACCTTCCTCAGACTCGTCGACCAAAACATCATAATCTGGCAAAGTAGCACATGAACTATGTGGCTGGGCACGAAGTGGAATAGAGTGTGGGCGAGGAGGCATGAGTGAGAGGCTAGGCCTGCCCTTCGTGGCACCCACATGTTCACTTGCACTGTCGGTCGTCTCCAATTTTTCTGACTGCATGTAGTCCTCATCTATGTCGGAGTCATCAATATCAGGTTCATAACCCTCCTGGAACAATTCCTGATGAATTTCATCCTCAGTCAAAGATTGGGTTGCACACTGCGCTGAGAGTGGTCGGATGCTGATATGTGTTTAGCTCGCCATGACCTCGGTCGCATAACTGAGGCCTCCACACAATGGCGGCCTGTGCTGGATTTTTTCCAAGATGGCGTCTGTTTACTATCGCCCATGGCTAGTGTATGGGGCCCCCCCCCCCTGTATCTCGTGGAACATTTAAATCGAGTGCTAGACCTCTTCAATCGTATATATACCATGTGCGCCATTCCGTGACAGTTACTCCCATCATATATGCATGTACTGCTGGTTTATGCAAGTATAGGCTTATATATATATATATATATATATATATATATATATAACACTCCTATATATATATATATATACATATATATGTATATATATATATATATATACATATAAACACTCCTATAAGATGACACCAGGACCGATGGTACAATCCTGAACCAAGAACAGAAACCACAATGCCTCCATAAAAATTATATAACATATCAACCATGCACAGTGAACATAAAAAAGAAGAACGAATTATGAAAGAAATAATCCGTAAAGGAGTAAAAAACATAACTCCTAACCAAAACATAGACCTAATAATATACTATAAAACAAAGAAGACTTCCGACCTCCTTATTAATTTAATTAAAAACAAACCGAAGCCGACGGAGAACCCTTTACTGCAGTCAAACGTGGTATATATGTACACTTGCCCCCACGAAGGATGTACCCATTAATCTAAGTACATAGGTATGCCATCGACCAAGCTGACGAGGCGTTTGACCTGTCATCTTCAATCAGGTGCCACCAAAAATCACATGAGACAAGCTCATGGCATCACCCTTACAAGAAAATGTTAAATAAAAACACTTGTTTAATAGACAAAACCCAAGATGTAAGAAGAATACAAATTCTTGACACAATCCACATAAAAAAGAACAATCCACCATAAATACCCAAATTTCGGAACAATTCATTCAACCCCACAATGAGAGTAAGAACAAGACAGGTACGCGAAGTTGCCAACATAGAAGACACTGGTCAACATGCTACACCCACTACACCTCACTAATCTTTGTATGTGAATAGGACCGCATTTCGCCTTTTTTTCAAACTTTAACGCCTTACTTTTCACTCCTTTTTGCCTTACTCATGACCCATGTATATTGGTCTATCTGTCTACACCTGACTCCCTCATGGTATAAATTCAATATGCTTTGTACTTTCCTACCACTTGGAAATAAACCATACAGGCTCAAAACGTTTTGTAATTTTATAATTAGTGTATTACATTCGACAGCTATTTATTTCTTTTACTTCACCTCGATCGAAGATGACTTTTGGAGAACTCCCCTTCCAATTAAACCAAGATGCTAGAGCACTATTCACAGGGATAGAAGCCCTAAACAAGAAAATAATGAATACAGAATATGCAGTCACATACAATAAAACATGTATATATATATATATATATATATATATATATATATATATATATATATATATATATATATATATATATTATTGTTACGGTGCCCTCTCCTATTTCTTTCGTTTGCCGGCTTAAAGAGTCATATCAGCTCTCCCTACTGATTCTCTGAGGTTCAGGGAGTCTAATGATATATGTGGCGACCAAACCGGCTGCCAGTTAAAGGAAGGAAGTTACATTATAAGTTAGAACGCTTTAAAAGAGACTAATGCCTTCAAATGCCCACTTGGGGACTGTAAGCTCCAAAAAACCCAGTATATAGGCAAGACAACTACATCTCTTTCTAGGCGTTTAACGATGCATAAGCAACAGGGCTCCATTAAGGAACATATAATCTCTTCCCATAACCAAACCATCGCCAGAGAAATCCTAGTAAACAACACAGAAATCATCGATAGATACAGCGATAGCAGGCGCTTGACGTTTGCGAGGCACTACACATCAAGAAGTCAACACCAGCAATCAACAGCCAATTATTGCACAACTATATTCTACCCACCTCAAGACTCCGCTCCAATATAGAAGCATCAAGAAATATGGACCAATAGGCTTTCAGTTACAAACACTTCTATTCAATACCCATTGTTTCTGTTCTGTCTTGTGTTGAAAGTTTGTTTTCACCTCATCCAAAACTGTCATATCCACCTCACTCAAATGTAGATATAAAATCAGAGATACGTTCTAATCAGTTGTGTATTTGTGAAGTCTTTGAAAATGTAATAAGTTTTACGAAACGCGCCCGTGTGTCGCGTCAGACTAGAAATAAAAATGAATTTTGGAGAAGTGATTTTTGATTTACCTCCAACAGTGAAGCGTAATGAAATATTGAGAAAATTCGTGTTAGAATTAATAATCTTACTTTTTCTGTCATATTTAATAATATATATATATATATGCGAATTATTAATCTTCATATATATATATATATATATATATATATATATATATATATATATACTATATGCGAATGAAAACTATATATATATATATATATATAATATATACAATGTGTGTATATATTGTGACGATAAACTCTTTCAAGAGAGATTGAGCCTGCTCTTCCCTATATCATTTACGTCATTCTACAAGTACAAGATACTATATTGAAGATACGTCCACCAGTATCACCAAACGTTTTGCCCAGGAAGCAAAGCGTACCTTGCACCACAAGACATGCCGGCTCTCCACCCGTCGTCAACGAGCAAACTACCCATTCTCCGCCTGCCTGTTCCTGATTAGCTGGTGTATCGCCGACAGCACCTGCACCTGCATTCACGCCCTCTACATGAGTCGACGTCTGGGCCAGCTCACGCCGTCCTCCTCAGAATATCTCTGTGCTCTTAGAAGTTGACATCTCTCTCTGGTAGACTAAGCCCTGGCTGTCGTGTACTAAGGGAGGTGGCAGCTCTAGCCAATATTCTCAGCACCTGATTATTATTATTATTATTGTCTTGCACTTTATTTTATTTTAGAGTAAATTTTCACATTATTAATTATTCATGTTATTTTGTTTGTTGACTTGTTTTGAATTTTACGTAAGCCAAGGGATTGTCTTTGTTCATATCTTGTTTTCTAAAGTAATTAAAATTTCATTTTTTATATTTTGTGTTTTGCGTGTCTTCCCATTACCTTACCACAGACAAACAGGCAAGCAGTCTTTTTTTTTTCTGTAAATGTGACAAGGCATTGCCACCTGCCATTGGAGGACTGCCAAACATCAACACTCCAACACTACCATCACATTTCATGGGGGCCTGTCCGGGAGCTTCACTCAGGTACTAGTACCAGAACGTAAATTTGTGGTAAGCTTACTTGGCTTTGGTACAGTTACTTTTCACTATTTTCAATATTCAATTTTATTTTTCATATGGTGCTGTGTGTATTGTGCATTCCGAGAGTAGCATATGGTGAGTGTGAGACAACTTTGGATTACGTGGTGACTGTAGGCCTCAGTCATTCTCTTAATTGGTCACCTCTCCCTCCGTGTTATTACTCGCGTTTACCAACTTTTGTCCCTAGGATATTTCTCATATTTTCGGCAGATCATTATATTGGTACCCTGGTACTGTGGTCTGTCCCCGGGTCAAGAGCACCTAATCTTCTGCAATCCGACAGTAGGAGGATAAAGAGGGCCATAGTTCCCCTAGCACGAACTTTGTTGCTGAATTGGGACCTCAGCAGCAGTTCTCGTCACCAGTTGACACCTCGCACCCCTACACGTTGGTCAGAGATGATGATATTTACCTAGGTAGGGAATTAGCTTTCTTTTTTCAGAGCACAAAAGTTCGCTAATTCTGTAAGTATCATATTTCATTTCAGTGGGAAAAACTTGCTTATGTCCTATAGAGACTCGGCAAGGTATGCCTACATTCTTGGACTACCTAATTCACCTTTGAGGCAATTAAATGTTTCATTTAACTTTTTACATTCCAACTGTGTATCTTACCTTATATGTATGTACCTTACCTGAATAAAAATTTATTTATTTATTTATTTATTTATTTATTTATTTGTTTTAGAAACTCAGTTTCACTTACTTAGTAGGATTTTCTTGCCCTTATCCTCTTACATTAAGTACCGGGTACAAGATTTCCTGCGATCTTGATTTATTAATCATTTACCATCTTGAAATTAACATTAATTGTTAACGATTCCACAGGATAGGTACCAGTTGCCACGTTGTCCTGTTTCTGACATCCACCATATCACAACAGTATATTCGTTGTACCTTTATTTGCTAATTTCACCATGTTTCGTCTCCAAGCTTTCCGTGCAGATCCAGCAGGTGAAATAGGGAACTTAAGTCGTGCCAAGAGGACTGAATTACAAACTCTTGCACATGAGTATCGACTAGATGTTCCCCATGGAGCCAACAAAAATGAACTGCATAACCTGTTACTGGATCATCTCTTAGAGGAAGGTAAGATTGACTCTGAAACTCACGAAACTTACTCTATTACAGATAAACCTGATTTGGCAACTATGAAACTCAAACTAGAACTGGCCAAGATCGAACGAGAGCAGCAAAGGGAAGCAGCTGCCATACGAAAGGAAGAAAAGGAACGTGAAATCGCCCTCAAGGAACGAGAAGCTGCAATCAGGAAAGAAGAACAAGAAAGAGAGATCGCCCTCAAGGAACGTGAAACTGCAATACTCCGTGAGCGTGAGTGAGTACAGCTTGAAGCCAAACAACGCCACCTGGAGATGCAACGCGAGCATGACAAGCAACAAGCAGCTCTGGCTATGGAATGTTGTCAACAAGAATTCGCGTTGGAAACTACACACCTCACTCAACGCCAGCAAGCTACCGCCAGTCTTCCAGTAAGTTTCAATATCTCCCATGCAAGTAAGTTAATGCCACCATTCGTAGAGACAGAAGTCGACGTATTTTTTACCACCTTTGAGACCCTTGCTAATCAACTTAGCTGGCCTGCCGACCAATGGGCTATCCTTCTCAGAGTACATCTCACAGGTAGAGCTGCAGTTACACTCAGTACTTTGGCGTCTGAAAATAACTACCAGACCATGAAGCAAGCAGTGTTG